TATATATATATTGCAAATAATCAAATACATTGTTTTCTAGTAGAAATCATTACATATTTCACATGTGAACACCTGAGAAGTGGTGTGTCCCCATGTGTCGTGCAAGGTGCATCTGCCATTTTGACTACCATTGTGCCAAATGTRGTAAAACTACAACAAAGACTTAACAAGCTAAAATTTTGCATTCAAAAATTACTTAGTAATTACATGCTTTAGAAAAAAATAGTTCAAGGCTTTTACTCACTTCAGTGTTGAGATCATTCACTTTAGTAAAAGAGGAAGATGTGCATTCCAGAAAGTTTGCAAGTTGCGTAACTTCAAGTCCTGACAGTCAGACCTATTTACACATTTACATTTGCATTACAAGCCTAAACAATAACTTATGACTGTGGAAATATAGTCTCACAAGAAAAAAAAAACATTTCTAGGTTTGTTTTCAATACAGCTAAAAGCAAAGTTGTGATTTTGCAACAGTGGGCCTTACAGGGTTAAAAGGTGTTGACCCATTATTAATTTAAATTTATAATATTGGAAACAGGCAAATACAAAAGTACTTTTAGTGACGTTTTGCGTTTAAGTATTTGAATATGTTTCTGTTTTATTGATTTCCCAGGGTCACTAACTAAAGTTATACTCACAGAGCTTTGAGCAAATATTTAAAAAAATGGGACCAGAAGAGGACAAAACAAATCCAAAAGGAGGATCAAATTGTCTTAAGCTTCTTATCGCCTGTGTCTTCTTCTTCACAACCTGCCTTGTTCCAGTCCATGGATTCTTCCTGAAGAGTTGCCGAATTAGCAACAATACAGTCAAATGTGCAACGATTAGTTCAAAACTCAAAACTATCCCAAAAGATATCCCCCCAACAGTGACGAGCCTTGATTTATCTAAAAATCACATCATTACCGTACAGTCATCAGATTTCCCAGATCTACCAAATCTGAAGGAGTTAAACTTCCACACAAACAGAATTTCACAGATAAAAAGCTCTGCTTTTGTCAATTTGACTTCCCTCCAGAAGTTGACTCTTAATAATAACAAACTTGTTAAACTCGTCGAGAATGTTTTTGATGGTTTGGGCAAACTCAGTGAGTTGAGACTTAACACGAACGCCATTAAAAAAGTATCATCCACCTCCTTCCAGTCCCTGACAAGCCTAAAGGTTTTGGACATTTCCTACAACAAACTGCAAAAAATTACAACACTCTGTTTAATCCTGCAGCATCTGCCACAGCTGCAAGAACTGGCTGTAAAAGGCAATGGTTTCATAAGTTTCCAATCACAGGAACTAACAAACCACTCACTGAAACTCCGTGCCCTGGACATTTTTTCTAATTCTCTCAGGGACTTCAGGTTAACTGCAGACATCTTCCCGAACCTGACTTACTTAACTATTGGCGACCCTTTTAGTAACTTGTTAATGAAATGGGACGTTAGTAACAAAACTTTCTTGAGTCAAGTGTCCAATCTGGATATTAGTAGCCTTTTCATGACAGTTGAAGACAAAGAAGCATTACTTGAAGCAGTGAACTCGTCACTTACTTCTCTATCACTGAACAGAATGAAGAGAATGATAAACACTCTTAGTACACTCATTAACAATTCTTGCACCATCCCAACAATGTCCTCATTGAAAATTCGACAAAACGGACTTCAAAACATTCATTCCAATACGTTTCAGTTGTGTGTTTATGTGACTGAATTGGATTTATCTGAAAACAATCTTGAAAACATTGAAGTGAATGCGTTCGCAACAATGAAAAGTTTAAAAAGTTTGAGTTTGAGTCACAACAGATTGATCTCAGTTCCGCCTGCAATAGGAAATCTGCCTAATCTTTTAAAGTTGCATCTCAATGACAACAAAATCACTGCAGTTCAATGTCAAGATTTTTCCAATTTGCAAAAGCTCGTTGAGCTTAACCTGTATAATAACACGATTTCAGCTCTGACCGACTGTGTTTTCAATAATTTAGTACAACTTCGAGTTCTAAGATTGCAATATAATGCTATAACCAGCTTCAATGGAGTATTTGAAAAACACTTACCAAACCTTAAGCAATTGCGACTGAATGGAAACAAACTGAGCACCATTAAGAAGGGGGAATTTAGAGGGTTGAAGTCCCTGCTTGAGCTGTTACTACATGAAAATAAGATAAAAACATTTCATGAAAACAGTTTTGTTGGATTGGCAAGTCTCACTGATTTGCAGCTACAGTCAAATTCCATCACTCATAACGAAATAAATAAAAGGCCTTTCGATGCACTTAAAAACCTGAGAAGATTGGATTTAAGCAATAATCGTATCAAATATATAAACAGCGAAGCTTTGCCTAAATCACCATTTTCTAATCTCTCCCATCTGGAGGAGTTGCTCATTCCAGCTCAACACTCCAGGGGAAAATCTTCTCTGCCTCGCAACTTATTGCAAGGACTAACAAATCTCCTGCGTTTCAGTGCTAGAAATTGTCAGCTTATCTACCTGGACAAAGACATGTTTAAATACACGCCTAACCTGAAAAATCTTGACATTAGCTCCAATGATTTAGACACGCTGTCTCCTGAACTGTTCTCCCACCTTCAGAACCTTAAAAGCCTCTACATATCCAGAACATCTCTCCGGTCATTAGATTTCTTCACTGATGCCAATCTGACCAAGCTGGAGTTCTTGCAGGCAAGAAAGAATCAATACTCAGTTATCACAAAAGATGTAATACAGTCTCTACCATCTCTTGTCTACGTGGACTTTCAAGGCAACAGTTTCACATGTGACTGTGATAACGCCGACTTCCTCAACTGGACAATTTCCAGCTCACAAACGCAGGTGTTTGATGCATATWACTTTGTATGCAACTATCCAGATGACTTTAAAGGCAAAAGGCTTTTGGACTTTGACTTAACATCTTGTTTATTGGATATTGACTTCATCTGCTTTTTGACCAACACATGCCTGGTCCTCTGTTTTATGGCCATGTCCTTCACCTACCATTTCATGAGGTGGCATCTCTACAGTGCATATTACTTCTTGTTGGCTTGGCTCGTTGACAAAAAGCATCAAAAAAAGCAAGCCCCTCATCAATACGATGCGTTCATCTCCTACAACACTCATGATGAGCCCTGGGTGATTGGAGAGCTCCTAACAAAACTGGAAGGAGAGCAGGGCTGGAGGTTGTGTCTGCACCATCGAGACTTTGAACCAGGTGAGACCATGTTAACTCCAACTGCTTGGCCAAATAAACACTAGACTTTCAGCTGAAAGTCATAGATCTATTTCAGATGGAGATCATTTAGTAATCAAATTCAAATCCTCCAATAGATCTATTATTTTGTCTTCCAGCTTTATTTATGGGTTAAACATTTTTGAATGCTTGTAATTGTATTTTTTTTATTTTCTACCAATGCATCTTCCAGGAAAGCCCATTTTAGATAACATCACAGATGCCATCTATGGAAGCAGAAAGACCATCTGTGTTATCAGCCACAGATACCTGGAGAGTGAGTGGTGCTCTAGAGAAGTCCAGACAGCCAGGTAAGAAGTTGTCTGCTGCTGAGTAACTTTTTGCATTTATGCTTATTTTGTATCTAAGTGATGTTTGCAGCTGCTTGTAACAATTGCATGCTTTAGTTGCTTGTGGTTCTTTTGACTGTATTTGTCAGGGCAAATCAACTTGTTTGTTTGTTTATTTGTTTGTTTGTTTGTTTGTTTGTTTGTTTGTTTGAAAAAATAAATGAAAAATATTTTTGAGGGGGAAAAAAAGATTTATACACTAAACTAAAAATGGATTTTTAATTGATTTTAAATTTATGATTCAATGGAACAAAATTAACTAATTTTAAATCTAGAAGATAATTGACATCTGGCCCCTGAGCAATTTAGTTGAATAGCCCTGCTGTGATGTTGTATTTTAGTTTTACACATTTCAGAAATACTTTTGTATCCTTTTATTGTCTTTTGTTCCCTTTAAACTTTTATTTACCTATTGTGTTTGCATTATAATTTCCTAATTACGTCTATTTTTTTTTTTGCTTTATATGGTGATTTTTTTGCTTATTTGTGTATTTTTTGGTCGTTTCCTCCTACACAGTTTCCGTCTTTTTGATGAGCAGAAGGATGTGCTGATCCTGGTGTTTCTGGAGGACATTCCCACCTATCTGCTGTCTCCTTACTACCGCATGAGGAAGCTGCTGAAAAAGCAAACCTACCTGAGCTGGCCGCGAGCGGCAGGGCACCCAGAGGTGTTCTGGGAGAAACTGCGTCAGGCTTTGCAGACTGGGGACGATCTAAATGAGGAAAATGTCAACCTGAATGTGTTACAGATACAGTAAAGAAAAAAGAATCAAAATTATTAGCTTGCGTTCCCTGGATGTTTGGGGAGTTTTTCTTTTTTCTTTTTTTTTCTTTTTTTGTTGCATTTGAATTATAATAATAGCAGTATAGTAGTGTAACAGGCCAACAAATACAATAACAAACACATTTAATTTGTATAAGAATTAAAATCATTTAATATAATGCTAAGTGTCGCACTGCACTCTGTCAGTGTTTCAGTCCGATATACAGTATATTCAGTTTTTCATGCTGTTCATGTTTGAAAATGACAATACATAAAAATGGAGTGGRCAAATCAAAGTTTGTGCTAACACTAAGCAATCTGCTGGCTTCCTTAGATTGTTTTTTTTTTCTTATTTTATTTTTTTATTTTTTGTACAGCGCCCTGAGACACCGTTTGTTGTGACTTGACTATGTAAGTATGAATCAAATTGAATAGGAAACAGTCAGGAGTTGTTTCTGGAAATCAGAAACAACCTTCACTGGTTGGTATCAGATTAAATCATTTCTTGTTCTTGAAAATGGGATATACAACAAAGGGCTGAGGAGGCTGCAAAGGAACCAGATAAGGATGCACAAAAAGCAACGTGCTAGGAGATGGGAAAAGGGCAAAATATTACCCAAGCATGACTCTGACTTAGTAATACAGCTGGATAGGAATTCAAAGACTCCAGACATGATAAATAAGCACAAAGAAAACAAGGCAAAGCTTCTCACATTCCTTCAGTTTGTATACTGTATACCGTATGTTGGGAAATTACCCACAAAACACTTAATGTATTGTTGCAATGTTCATGTGTTTGTGCTGTTTTACTTGTGTTAAGTTGTAAATCTGTGAAAAATGACAAGCACGTGTGCCTTTACTTCCTAACTTTCTAATACAGTCTCTTCAACAARATGCCTTGAACATGAATAATAAAAAAATAAATGCTTTGTCTACTGACTTTTTACTTTTTTTAGTTGTGCATCTGAACAGAAAGAAGTGGGCAAAGAAGGATGGATGGATGGATGGATTAGACTTTGAGCTGATCAATATACCTTTCTGTCTCAAGTCCAGCTACACCCGCCCACAACAGGTCAACTAACTAACCAATAGGTAAAAGTGGAGACAATGCAGTGGTGAATGACATGACACACGTGAGGAACAGGAAATCAATACGACAGCATCAAAATGAAAGTACAAGAAACATAAAAAGTAAAACAAAAACAAAACTACAAAGCATGGAAAACAGTTTGATCAAGGAACTAAAAAACACACAAACGAAGAAATGAAAATTGTTTATATTTCAAAACACATTTTGATGACAGTTTGCCATAAAATTATGCAATAAACTTAACCTAACCATTTACAAAGTGATGGTTTCTCTTATTAACTGCACACAAAATAGCTTTTCAGTTTTCAGAAGGAAGGTTTTTGTAAAACTTCCAAATTACATTTTTACATTTTTAGTTAAAAGTGAGCAGCACGGTGGCTTAGTTGGTAGAGCTGTTGTCTCTCAGCAAGAAAATTGCCGGATCAATTCCAAGCAACGGACCTTTCTGGGTAGAGTTTGCATTCTCTCTTTATGCATGCACAGGTTGTCAGGCACTCCAGTTTTCTCCTACAGACAAAAGAAAAACTGTTAGGCTAATTGGTGACTAAATTGTCCAAAGGTGTGAGTGAAAGAGTAAATGGTTGTTTATCTCTGTGGCCCTGTGATGGACTGGAGATTTGACCAGGAAATACCCAGCCCCTCACACAGTAACTGCTGAACATAGGCACCGGTGACCCTGAAAGGAAAAAGCAGGTAAAAGATAACTG